ATTACGAGTACACAGAAAGCAGGTGACACTCCGGTTTACCTTATCAAAATTCTCAAAAGATCATAAATGTTTTGGGCAACTGAAGTTCCTACTGATTTGAAGGCAAATCTGTATGCAGAGTATAAGCCTATCCTCCAATAACCAAGACTCTACCAACTGTGGGAAAGAATGCTTTCAATTCTGCCTTTAATTTTGCCAAATAACTTTGTCATTAGAGATTAGATGAGTAAGTTTCTTACGTTTTGGGTGTTCCATGTTCCTCTTGGAGTTGGTGGTTTAAAGAACCCTGCTAATCCCATGTGAATACACTCTGGCTACAGCTGAGTGTGGCGTAGGTTACTGGGATCTACTGGGAGGTTAGCCAAGACTAAACACCATCAAGTGTGTTATGTAAGTGTGCCCCAAATTTGTAAAACCAACTATGCAAAAGACTAACACAGGAAACACCATGGGAATGTGCCATGTTGAGGTGCTTCTGGGGTGTTTCTGAGAGGGAGGGGAATGTAGGGCAGAATCTATGAAAGGTTTTCTAGGTGAGAGGGAAAGTGAACTTTGAAGAAATTCTTACAGATTTCCTGTAAAAGCATGAGATGAATCTAAAAGGACAGTAGGGTAATGAATCTTCTCTCTAGGAGAGCTGCTGCCCCACTGCAACCAATTTTCTTCAATACTTAGTAAGCTCATTTTGCCAAAACATTAAGGGGCTAGAACAAAAAGAACACAGGAAACAGGGAAACAAGAATTTCATCTCTGACTTTTCTGGGGGTGGCAATGTGAGCTTAGAAGGATTTTTACTTCTGTCCAAGTTAGTCAACTGCTGTCCAATAGGAATTGGTTCTAACAGACTCACACACTGATCAGAAAAAGTTATAGGACACAGGGTGAGAGGCTTCCCAGGCCAGGAGACCAATAGCCACGGGCATTCTAGTCCACATGCAGGAAGTGCACCTTAATAAAAATAGTCAAGCTCCAAGATGCAGAGTAACCTGCAAGGGGTGGACAAAGACTCTGGTTGAGCTTGAAAAGAGCCAGATCACATCAAGAAATCGTCCTTAGATGATGTGGAGAGATGGAGTGGCTGGGGACTTTGGACCCGGAGGGGGAGAGGGTCTGTGTGCTGATGACCAGAGGGCAGGCTTGCGGGGTATACCCTTTGGTTGGTGGATGATGCATGGAGGGGATTGTAACCATGGCAATGAAACGATATACGATGGGATCAATGTAAAGCTAATGTTCTCCCATGTAAACTATCACATAATTCACAATAAAGCATGAAAAAAAATTGTCCTTGCCCAGAAAAAAATTTGAGGTCATATAGAATTGATGAAATTTGAACTATGGTGTTGGTAAAGAATACCGAATACCATAGAATGCCAGAAGACTGAGCCAGTCTAGCTTGGAAGAAGGATAGCTAGAACATTCTTTGGAAGCAAGGGTGGCAGGACTTGGTCTCCTGTATTGTGGCCATGTTATCAGGAGCAACCAATCCCGAGAGAAGAACATCATGCTTCAAAGAGGATCGGGGAAAAATGTGCAAGACCCTCAACAAGGTGCAGTGGCACTGTGGCTCCAACAATGGGCTCAAACAGCCATGATTGTGAGGACGGTGCAGAAGCAGCATTTTGTTCTGTGGTACACTGGGCCACTATGAGTTGGAACAGACTTGATGGTATCTAACAAGCCTAACCAAGGGGAGTTTGCTAATTCACAGGTCAAACGAACACTAGAGAATGCAAGAACCTCCATTTTCTGAAGCAGAACTTCCAGGGTTAGAAAAGCTAGTTCTTCCCATACTGGGAAACACGACTTGTCTGAGACATTGAAAAACTCAAAGTCTAGGAGCAGTTGAGGATTCATTCTCTTTGCCACTGTCCAATCACCACATTGGACCAACACTGAGACAGTAACTTCAGCTAGCTGGTCTAAAGAATGCCCAGACTTGCAGAGGAATGTATTAAGGACAAAAGCTACCCTCTCTAAGGACCAAATTTCTAGCAGAGCCTGGCTTTTAAATGAAGAAAACAGCCCTTATATCTGGCCCAGCTTCAGGTGGAGCTGAGGATGCCAAGGTTCTTGCATCAAAACTCTCTGGATTCCCTGTTAACAGTGCAGAGCAAACAGGTTCACTGGCTGGTCCTAAGGTTGAAGGGCCGAAGTCGTTCTGCACCAAATATCCATAATTGACTGTTCGGTTCAGATGTGTTTTAGCCAACATCTCAAAAACAGTAAAATCAAAATCTATCAGTATCAAATAAAAGTGGCCCCTATCTTAGATTCCGAAGTCTGAGTGTTACTGGGAGGGCGTTTCCTAATGCGGACATGCGGAAGCAGGGCCTGAGGGGCATCCAAATCTAGGAACTCGAGCTATGTTAGGCCCTACCCCTGCTGGAAAGTTGGGAGCCAATTCCGAGAAGAAGCTGTTCAACAATGGTCCGTGTTGCAGCCTCGCCATAGGTTTGGGATTCTAGGAAGAGCTGGTAGCTGCATTCTCCACCCAGATCTCTGGATTCTTAAGAGCATTATTATCTGGTTAAGCAATGATGATAAAAAAAAGGCTTGCTGTAATGAAATCATCCTTGGTCAGAAATGTAGGTATCCACATTCCATGTCCTTGGCATCAAAGACGTGACCAGTTATGAGCAAGCCAGCTTCGTTCCTTCTTGTCAATCTTCTTCATCCAGTGCTACAAGAGTCCTAAATTAAAGATCAAATGGAGACCATGCAGTAGGATGGGTTTTTGAGGTAGTGTCCTTCAAGGTAGAGTTTTATATGAAATGGATACAAATAAATGAATCCATCAATGACATGACAAAATGGTAGTAGCCATTTGAGCCACACATTTTTTATATGGATTCCTCAGTGAAATATACTTGTATATTACTTGTTTTGAATGCACAATAGCTTAAAGAAATGCAAACAGATATACCCACAGCATCTGAAAACATACTGTGGGCAACATTATCAGTACGATTGATGAGAAATTACTTCTGTCTGGTAGCGTAGTGGTTACGAATCGGGCTGTGAACCTAAAGGTCAGCAGTTCGAAACTACCAGCTGCTCCGCGGGAGAAAGATGAGGCTTTCTACTCCCGTAAGGATTTACATCCTCGGAAACCCTGTACAGGGTCGCTATGGGTCGGAACCGACTCGACGGCACACAACAACAACAACAATACTTTATCTGGCACTTTATGCTAAATATTGTCATCTTCCCCTTTAGCAGATGAACAACAAAGGTATGTGGCAAGCCCTAATATACCATTTTCCTGCTTATGTGAATAAAATTATATGCATTATATTCCACTTTCTCCCAGACCTCAACCTACAATTTATAGAAAATAAGGTAGGATCAACACTGGACTGTGAACCACAAGGTTGGCAGTTCAAACCTACCAGCTGCTCCTTGGACACCCTACACAGGGTTACCATAAGTAGGAACCAACACAATGACACTTAACAACAACAAAGCTGGTGTGACACTGTAGCAGATGTACTGGACTGCTAACCACAAGGTTGGTGGTTCAAACCCACCACCCTATATAGGATGGCAATGAGTTGGAACCAACAAGACAGCACTAATAATTTAAGAGGAAGCCCCTCAAGACAGACCGACACAATGGCTGCACCAATGGACATAAAGAACAACTGTGGGAATGGGACAGGACTGGACAGTGCTTCATTCTGTTGTACATGAGGTCACTATGGGTCAGAACCAACTCAACAGCACCTAACAACAACTGCTAGGGCAGTGATTAGGCGTTCAGCTGTTAATGGAAAAGTCAGTGGTTCGGACCCAGCAGCCACTCCATGGGAGAAAGATATGACCATCTACCTCTGTACAGCTTTACGGCCTGGGAAACCCTATGGGACAGTTCTCCTTCATCCTCCAGCGCCACTAGGAGTCAGCACCGACTTGAAGGCAATGGGTTTGGTGTGGGTGTTGTTGGTATGTGAGGCATTCATAGTTGTGGCCAGCTGTAAGCAAGCCAGCTTCATCTCTTCTTGTCAACCACCTTCTTCATCCAGTGCTACGAGAGCCCTAAGAGGACGATTAAGCAGAGACTAAGCAGTAGCATGGGGTTTAGAAGTCTGTGCTGGAATAAACGAGACTCTTACAGTGTTATAGGAAGATAGGAGTGGAAGATTAGGTCAGAGGACTTTACTTATGAAACTTTTCGAGACACTCTGGGGGGGCTGTCACTTTCAGTCAGAGAACTTTATTCCTACACCAGTTTTAAGGATCCAAAGATTAAAGTACAATACCAAAAAAAAAAAATGAGCATAAACAGGTATGGTGGTCTATGCACTGCTACTTCTAGAGGTCAAGAGGAATTCTACCAGATGCTAAACAAACCACGTCCCTGTACTAGAAACAAGTTAAAGAGCCTTCCTGCTGTTGCCATCGTCATTGTTTACTGAGAGGAACCCACCTGTCACGTTCCCATTCATTGGGCCTCTGATCTTAACTATCAAAGCATTTCTTTTCCCAGAGGAAAAGATTCGCACTAAATACTTTAGTAGACTGAATGATCTAATATCCTTTCCCATCATCCCTGAAAGTCTTAGTGACTGTACAGGTGAAGTGAGCTACTTCAGACAACTAAATGCACAGTAACGCAAACTGTAGGGATTCTATCTTTGGTTCACTGCCATCACCTCAGGAGGGGCAATGGTGGTCAATAATGGGGATTGATTGAATGAGGAACACCTTGAACTTCATACCTTCACTATTACTCTTTTATCTCAGAAACATATGACCAGGATCAAGCCCTACTGGGTTCTAGGTTAGTAATGCACTCACACAGGGCTTGCAGGAGCGCTCCGGCATCCTAAAGCCATTATCTAGACAGAGACTAGTGACCTGGACAAACTCTACCCCACAGCCTAGCACTGGAAAATGCAAATTCATGGAGACAGAGAGACAGAGGGAGGGAGCTCAGCACCACAGCACACTGCACACGGCTGCTCTGGCGCCTCTTCCAAGGCTGCACTCGGCAGACTTTATTTGGCAGCGGCTCGTTTCACTTTTCCTTGATCATCCACTTTCTTAATGGCCGCCTGAATTGCCTCTTGGTTGCCCAGGAACTGGTGAGGCCTGATGGCATGCAGGTTTTCATCCAGTTCCAAGAGGATTGGGACACCAGTCGGGAGAGTGATGTTGATGATGTCTTCATCTGAGATACCTGTGGGTCAGGAGAGGAAGGGAAGGCTGTTAACAGCAACTCAGGAGAAAGTTGTGTTAGCTGCTTTAAGTGGCCATTTACTTAGTTCCAGCTACAGTTCCTGAAAGCCAAGAACTTCCCAGAAACTTTAAATCCTAGACAGAGAGTCACACATCAAGTTCTCAGCCTCAGGCTGTAAATATTTGGGGGGAACAACCTGCTCCTGGCAATTCCGGTCCAAATATTAAAAGAATGAAAATGTGTACTCCCTGTGCCCACATTCATGTTATGGGTTTCCTAGAAGAATCATTTAATCTTGAAAAATCTAAAAGTGAACCCTCTTTTCTGTATTCTCTTTAAAAAGTTTTTTTTGTTTTTTTTTCCTTTTACATGTTATCCCTATACTAGTTCTAAAATCAGAACTTGCCCCTCATCTCCGAATCTACCTCATTTGATTAGAATGCAACTGGCTGTCCAACACTACATGATCTTGGAAGGCACTGGGCTGGATCCAACCAAGCAAGAATGCTCCCGGATGCTTCAGCTTGTGCAGCCAGAAGGACCTAAAAGGAGGTTGTGGCATGCCTTATAAATGGGCCTCAGTCTCCAATAGTCCCATCCCTACTAGGGAGAGAACAAGCCACCTTCAACCCTTTTTAATATGCAGTTGACTTGCAGGTAATTAATCTTTGACAACTAGAGCTGGTGTTGTAGAAAGAGCAGCAGCAGAAATGGCAGTGTGCCTACTACCAACAACTCTACTATACTACACTATGAGTATTACCAACAACTCCACTACACTATGACTACTATCAACAACCAAGAGCAGATTGAGTACATCCTAGGTGCTCTACTAAGCATATATATCTAGTAACACCTTTAATCCTCACAGTAAACCTGTGAGGATAGCAATGTTTACAAGGTCACACAGTAGCTGGCAGAGGCTGGCTGCCAACCCAAGCACCTGTGCCTACTTCATATTGCACTGCCTCCTCAAGCACCTCTACGTCCCAAATGGGCAAAAATAAGGGAGGTGCAAAGTGACAGCGCTGAGCAGATGAGCAGGCAGCTGCAGGTATTAGCTACTTTAAAAACCGTTAATGTTATTACCTAAACTTCTAAACTCTAACCACAGGGAGTAGTTTCACTCTGTCCAATGGGGCTCAGAATTGACTCAATGGTTGTGGGAGGTTTGGGCTTCCGTTGTATATTAATAGAAAGGACTGAGGTTGAGCAGTTCAACACGTTCTGACAAGAGTCCAAGGGTTCAGCTTTACCTGGAGGTGGGGGGTAATTGTGGCAGAATAAGTTATTACCAGTTAGTTATCAATGTACTTTGTCATTTTAATTAGTCACTGGTCCTACCATGAGCCCCAGTCAAGGGCCACAGAATGACAGCGTTGGGTCCCTACCACTGGGCAGATCCTCACTAGGATTTCCAGTCTAGGCCCAGAAGAGCCACCAAGTCAATCTCACTACAAATTGTACAGATCCAAAGAGCTGTGTAACAAGGGGAGACTCTTAACGTGGGAAACGTCCTCTAAGTTCGCCTCGCCATCTCCTCCATTGTCACGCTCCCTTCAATGTACCAGCTATCTAACTTCAGACCTCATATCCCCACAAACTGTCCCACCACCACCACTGTGTGTGTGTCGGTGGGGGGGGGGAACTTCACAGAAAACACACAAGGAAGAAAGAGCAGCCGATCAGTATTTCAATTGTTCCTTGTAGATACAAAGCGTTGTTGCTGGTTAGTGCCACTGAGTCAGTTTCGACTCAACACTACAGTATACAGTTTCCAAGGAGCAACTGGTGAGTTTGAACTGCCTACCTTTTGGTTCAAACAGACCTTGTGGTACTAGCATATCCTACACACCTTTCAGTTCTAGGGTAGGCTACTCAGGTCTGCTTGTACCCTGCCCAGCCCCCACCTGCAACCCTACGACTCCATGGCAGCAGGCTGGTGAGAACAAGTATGTTCAGAGCAGACACAGCTGTTTGGCTGGATTCTGAACCCCCTCGGGCTCAGGCCCGACTGTCAGCTGCTTGTCAGCCTCCTGAGAGGGCCCTGGGGGACAGAAGGAGGAGAGGTCAACAGCGTGTGGAGGAGAGACCAAGTCCCAAGCCCAGTTCTTAGGAGGCACAGGCATACCTCAGTCAAGTGCCAGCAGCTGAGGTTCTATTATGTGACTGGTCCTCTGGGGAAGGATACTTGGGACCTTGGGGATGACTCTACCTCGACTGAACTATTTCTTCATCTACAAAATGATACCACTTCTAACATCCAAGATCCCAAATGTTCATGGAAAAAATGTATTACTTTGCAATTTCATTTTTCCACAAATGTTTGGAAGCCTCCTCATATTCTAAATCGTTGAGAGAAACCAAGGCACATCACAGACATGCAATACAGGCCTACTGATTACATTAATCTACTGTGCCAGACCCAAGAATAAAAATGACTCTTTCCAGACCTGGGATCATCTTACTGGTTTTCCACGGGATTTATTTAATCTTGTAAAATCTGAGTATTAACCCTAGAAGCCATTTGTTTGTCCTCCCCCCTTTTTGTGTTAACCCCAGGCTAGCCCTAAAATGAGGACTTTTCATTAATGTCCCCAGATTTTATCTGCCCCTGAAGTCTATAAGCATATATGTTCATGGACGAGTGAGACAGATACAGGTTACAGATTTCTCCAATTAGTCTAAATTTTACTGCAAAAATCAATGTTTGGAAACAACTGTTCAGCTAAATGACCATGCTTGACTACACTTTGCCGAGAGGGAGAAACAATGAGACACACATCTGTCGGAGTCTCAGACTTACCAGCTACAGGTTGTGCGACTTCACGGTACCACCAACTACTAACCTCACCAACATTCCAGGAGTCAGGACATTCTCTGAAAATGACTAAACAGCTCCCCTCCCCAAGTCAGGCACATGACAAGGACAACCTCTCTACTGCTTCTGTTCCATACTACTTGAGACTCTAACTAGGCCAATGAGGTCAGATAATGAAATAAAGGCTTCCAGATAGGAAAGGAAGAAATCCAATGATTTTTATTGGATGATTTCCCTTGTCATGGATTGAACTGCACCTCCTTTCCTCTCCTAAAACTATGTCAACTTGCCAGGGCCACGATTCTTGGTGATTTGACAATTTTGTAATGACGCAATCAGCCCCATGATATGGTCTGGTGTGACCAGCCCATCAGCTGGAGAGATCAGGCCACAGCCTTGATCCTGTGTAAGGGGATGGACTTTTCCAGGTTACATGATGTGGTCTATGTCACCTTTTCTCTTGCAAACCATAAAAGGAGCGAAGAGAGCAGAGAAAAGGAGGGACCTCCATCCCAACAAAGAAGAAGAGCATGTCCTTTGAATCTGATATCCCTGTGTTGAGAACCACCTAGACCCAGGGGAAGACTAATGCCAAGACACATGGAGATCTCCAAGAAGCAGTGCGCCCATAGAGGTTGAAAGGAGACAAGAGTCTTCCCCCAGAACCAATAGAGAGAGAATGCCTTCCCCTAGAACCTACAACTCTGAATTCAGACTTTCAGTTTCTTAAACCGTGAGAGAGTAAATTTTTGTTTGCTAACTCTATCCACTTGTGGCATTTCTGTTATATCAATACTCGATCACTAAGACAATCTTGGATATGGAACATCCTAAGAAATCCAGTGAAAAACTATTAGAACACACAGATTCAGCCAGGTTGCAGAATATAATATCAAGATACAAAAATCTGTTGTAGTCTATAAAGTAGCAATGAACAAAACAATTCCATTTTAAAGTAACAACAAAAAGAATAAAATACTTAGGAATAAGTTTAAGCAAAGAAGTGGAACACTTATATTTGGACACTACTAAACATTACTTCTTGTTGTTGTTGTCAGGTGCCATCAAGTTGGAACCGACTCATAGCGACCCCATGCACAGCAGAACAAAATGTCCGATCCTGGGCCAACCTCACCACCGCTGCCACACTTGAGTCCATCAATGATGTCACCTGGCCAATCCATCTCGTTAGGGGTCTTCCTCTTTTTCTCTGA